ACGACAAAGGATAGAAATGTTGTGACAAGTAGCCCAAGTACAAAGTCTAAACCCAAAAGAAAGCAGAAAGGTGCTCTTGGTTTGTTAATGCAATATGACAGCGATAGTGGTGGGTCAGCGGCTAGTGTTGATAGTGATAGTACCTCTAGTCATAGTATCAGTCCATTGAGCTGCACTCCTCCCAGTCCTCCTCTGGATAGGCTTTTAAGCCCAACCACGTGCACAGAGAAAGGTCCCAGTCCACTCGCTTTTAGTCACAATGAGACAAATAACAACACAAAACCCAAGAAAAGAGTCGCAAACAAGAAAACAACCGACAAGAAAAGAACTAGGAACAAGACACCCAAGTTAAACCATGATTCKACATCGGGATACGTTAACCACACTGCTGGACGATTTACTAACCATGATACATTAGGATTTGTTAACCTYGGGGATACAGTATCCGGAGTGCAACATTTAAAGAATCAACGRTCACAGTCACCAGCAATTGTTACCACGGCAACATCAATCAATCCTCAGCTTACGTCACAGGCGATGTACCCAAGTACCGGTTTACCTGGRTATTCGTTATCCCAAGGATCCTTTCCATTCCAATCTGGAAACTTTTCTTACCCTCCATCCAACTATCAGCCGTATCTGAACACWCCAAGTCAACCATCCAGCGGTTTTTACCAGTGGGCTGGCAGCTTTCCTAGTATGCCTTGTCAGAGTAATTTTCCATATCTGAACTTTTCGAACAGTACTAGTGGTTCTAGGAATGCATTTAGATAGGTAGTTTWCCAAATTGATAGTTGCACAACTTTTATATGTTTGTCATCTCAGCCATTTCCAGAAACGCTGACTAGATATGTTATGTGAAAACGGTTGAATGGCATGTAGTTAATGGAMCTTTTTGAAGACCAATGATTTTTTCAATTATATTACATGTACATAGTTTGTTGAATCGGAAAGAGTGAGGGACAGGGCCAACATGTATTCACTAGCAATGATAGTATGTAATCTTTATAATACAGATGTTTATTATCACATGTAAATACGATATTTTCATGTACAGATAGTATGAAGGTGTTAATTAATGTCAGACAACTATTTGCGCATGTCAACTTTGTGCAGTGAAATCGCTATTGGACCATAGAATAGAAGCTGTGTTCATTGAGTGCATTTCGTAAAGTCAAATTCGATTGCTTTCTTGTTAGCGGGCTGTTTTCAGAGATAGATGTGCTTTTAGTTTGATTGGCGTCGGAAAAATAAACTGGTTTTGGATACCATGAAAGGTTTCCGACTGACAATCATTKCTTCCGAAGTTTTCCGATTTATGTTCATTCCGCTTTTTGTACCTTGGCTTGCCATCAAGAGTTACCGGAATGAGTCGGRTTTCTTCGGTTAACTCGTGGACTTTGCAAAACGAAATGTCTCAATGGCGCATCATTTTATTACAATCATGGTTGTCCATTTTAAAATACTTTTAGCCTGTTTTCAACCGGTGCACCAATATTTTATGATAATAAAACTTTAGAAAAGGCGTGGTGTTCTTTATTGGCTTGAAGTTCCAGAAACGATTTTTGTTAAATCTGTTTTCCCCTTGTTTTTTTTTGTGTGTGTGTGTGTTTGTTTTGTTTTGTTTTTTGTTGTTTTTTTACATACTTTATTTATTTTGACAATTTGTCTTTATATTCTCTCTTCTTCTTTTCCAAGTTACCAAAGGGTTCAGGATTTATTGATGGGTTTAAGAGTAAAGTAAAGGAGGGGTATTATGAACATAATGAACAAAATCCAATACTCGAACTGAAAGAAATCTGGAATTGTATCATTTCTTTCCATAACTTATTATAACTCACTAATGGGAATACGCTCAACCTTGTGATGATAGACGTTTTCCAACACTAAGATAAATTAATCTCCGCGCGTCCGTTTATTCACATTATCGTAGTCAACATCAACTGGTGCTATGTATTTCGGTSCTCAGTGTACCGTTTTCTATCTTAGAGATGCGATTCGTGTTCACTTGTACTTAAAACTAAAACACTAGGTAATGTACAGTGTTCTATATCCATGGGTTTTAGTCAATGAGATCGTAATTTGTACAATATAACCCTTTATAGATGAGACACGTTTTTGAAGTTTTATTCAAGACAAATATAATAAGTATAGTGGCGGATCCAGGAAGTTACAAGGCAGGGGGGGGGACTCTAAAATAAGAATAGAATAGATCCAGCGCTGCGAAAAATAAACTCTTCAGATAAACGCTGCTTTAGTTATTTTTCAGTCCCGCTCAGATGTGTTGTAGTCTTTTATTTAATTAAAATCTACCATGAAATGTCTTTTTCTATAATTTTTCATCGGTAAGGGGCTTGTCACCCCAATCATACCATGGATCCGCCCATGAAATACAATCCACCGTTCAAAAATCGAAATCTTTTCAATGTATTTAGGTATAATACCTTTACATAGAGGCACTTTAGAGCACTAGTGTTTGATCCTGTATAGACACTTTAAGCACTCCACATCATGTTCCTTTGACGCTAAATGGATACTTCAATCTCTAAACCTGACATGGGTTGAAAGCCTTCTTTCTTTTGAAATGCCAAGCATAATTCTACCACGATGTTGTCTTTTTTTAATTTCTTTGCCGATTCATTTTGCTTCGACATGTTTACTTTTATTGTTCCGGTAACAAAACTAAAGATTCCAAAAAGAGAAATTGTGGACACAGAATGGGCACGCCTACCCTTGCCAGATGCGAACAACAGAGCTGACAACATCGTTGATGCGAGAAAATACTTGCACTGTTTGAAGTTGATGTATTCAAGCAAATATTATGCTTTGATTGTCCGGTGTTGATCAATATTTAGGTAATCGAGTCGGATGTTTGTGAGGTACACATGCTAGGAGTCTTCTAGTTACCGATCCGCTAAACTACAACAACTATGTCATGTAAATAGAAATTACAAAGCAGGCGGATGTTAGCTATACGAGATTCACCAGCGATGGTATTGGGAAATTCTATGGGATGTTTATTTTAGACCAGTTGGGGCTGTGGAAAATTAATTTTACGGTGATCGACACAGTGTCGACATGAATCCTAACTCTTACACGACGGTAACGCCCTTCTGTCTCTTCTTGCTTTTAATATTCTTTCATCACAAAAAGATTTCCAAAAGAGTGAACAGTTTGTCTCGGTGTATAGTCATTAAGTAAGTGTATGTACATTTGGGGTTTTTGTCAAAGTAAACGTTGCATTAATGTATGATTTGTGATGATTACTTAGTAAAAGACGTCCTTTTCAGCTAAACATCTCAAAGTATAAACGTCTGTTATTATTGCTTCAGTTACTAAGAGGAAATAACTAGTCTTTTAGACGGTGTTAAATGGTTTCTAAGTTAAATATTTTTATTTAGAGCTAAAACCGTGTCACCACTTTGACGCTAAGTCATWTTTGGCCCCATAATTGCTGCCCGTAAGCGGTTTTTGTCGTCGGCATTTCAAAAGTTTCTCGATACACTATCAACAATCATAAGCCTAAAAGCTAAGAACTTAAAGACAAATCACTGGGAATCAAGGGGCTTTAAGCTGATGTTATTTTGATAAAGATTACAAGTGTTAAAGCATTCTATAYAGCCAGCCGGGACTTAAACACACCGCAACCCTACCAGTCTTGCACGTATCCAGCATGKATTGSTTACATTAAATGGAAAAAATGTAGTTACAATTCATAAATTATGTACAAAACAAATCACGAATTAAGGATGTTATAGTTTCACAATACATCCTCGCATCGAAAATTACTTCATAGAATGTAAGTCTCTACGAGCTTTTTTCACAATCATTTTTTTGTTTTAAAAAACAAACCGCAAAATGAAAGATGTATTATTTTTTTAATGTTTCTACAGATTAGCACACAAAATTCAACGAATTTTTTGACATGATCATCTTAAACTGTAACACAATTGTCATTTTGCCGCCATTTCTAAGTACTCGCATGGTATCATTATCAGTCGGGTATCATWATCATCTAATAATATTACAAATATTATACCTGATAACCCTTTTACTTATGCCATTATTTCATAGTATATCGTAGTTTGAATTCGCAGTATGCAATACTTTTTCTATGATCGCTAACGCGTGAAACATAAGTTACTATGTTTTCATGTAGTATTGATTGTAAAGTTTTACCTTTTGCTTGGGTGTCAGACATCAAGATCAATTCCATAGCTTATAATGAGAAACAATGTCTTACCTAACACACTGGTTAAGCCGTTATCCAGTACAAGSCACATGTCAATTGTCAGTTTAATTTCATGAACTCGGGCTTTGAGCCAAATGCTGTTTTTTTGATTGAATTGGGTAGGAGCGTTCATAGCAACCTGCCCTTATAATGGACGGTTTCTTATGCATGGCTTGGCTGTTRCTGTCTCAAATATTTTAGCTTGCTGTGCGGGGTCAGTACAGATTTAATTGGACAAGAATATATACTCTATCTTTTATCGAAGTAACATGTACATTGTGATCTTCCGGGTGGATGTAGTTCTGAGAAGAACTGTTTGATGTGACTGACGTACTCTGTGAAACAGTCTCAAATTTAGTCAGCGAGAAATCCTTTGTTTTCTRTTGTATRATGGTTTTATTAGGCGCTGCGATTTGCAATGATWTTTGGGCATAATAAACGCACATATATACTGAGACATCACATGGTTTATGGAAATAATAAGTCTTAGATTGATATTTTGTTAATTTTTGTTCTTCTCTTTGCTAAATCTTCAATAAACTCGCTTGTACTCCTAAATCAGTGCAAAGTAAGATCAAATACATCATAAATGGCMGCAGTTAAAACGAAAATACGCGTGGTATTTTCAAAACTCTCTAAAGTCTTGTCTACAAAGGCATTGTCATCAAGTATACTCCAGTATACTGAGAAATCAGTGTGGATTGATCGCTTAGCAGTGGTTACCTAAGGGTCTTTTAACGAAGTTATACCTCTTTGCTCCGCCCATACCATTCTACAAATCATTAGCATATCACAGGCCATACTAACCTTGGCAATAAACGCCTACAAAAACACCTTGACCCAGTACCGATTGAACCGATAGGGAAATAGGTTTCCCGTACAGGTTATTGGTTCCAGAAGGATAGAAATACGTTCATCAAGTCATGTTGTTGTTGATGTTTTTTTTCTGTGAACGTCACAAAATGACAGCCTTTTGGCACGTTCTACAGGGTGATTATAGAGATCTAATGGGAAACATATTGACATATAAAACACCCAAAAGTCACGATTTATATTCGTTTTCGTAAATAAATGACTTTTATACATCAGAGAAAGAAATAAAACACTAATAAAATCTAAAGCATTAAACACGAAAGTAAAGTCGAAGACACAAACACCGTACGACTGATTGAATAATTCAGCAATCATCAGTGTTGATTCGCAGTCTAATTGTCAAAACAAAAAAATACTCCATGAATCATGTTTAAGTGAATCTCGTTTTCTTCTTTCTGTTTTTGGCCATTACCTTACGTTAATATTTAAGACTAAAAATATACGAAGCCGAAAAGCGCGCGACTAGTCTTTCAGAGTATAATACGTACAAGAGCTCAGCGAAATTAGTAGACTTGTTGGTCTTATTAACAATGTGCCGACCGGCCAACATAATAAATCTACCTGCTATTATACCAATTCGTGTCATTTATCAGTTTTTCAAGTATGGCTACTTATTTGTTGACATTTAGAAGTTTGTCTTGGTGAGATTTCCTTCAAGTAGCGATAGTATAGGGCGTTGTAAAACTGCCATTCAAACCMAAAACAGTCTTGTCGTTCTATACAAAAAGGGTACTTCACAATCATTGGTTACAAAAAACTAGGTTTTCTATTGAGAGCGTATGTTAATGCTGATAACAAACAATGATCTTTTAGCAAGTTGCTTTGTTCGTTTCACTGCTGTAATAATTTTCATTTTACTGGTGGCTAATAGGCAGCAATTTAAAAACGGTTATAATGTGGCCACCAGCAAGCTCCAAGTGCCTTTGTATTCTGAACAACTCCTTTGCACTAAATGGCCCCTAAATGCTGCTAAATCATCGGATCTTACAAGTACGTACTGGTCATGAATAGTGACTTATATGTCCTAAGATAAACCACACTTCTCATCAACTCTTGTTGACTATCATTGAGCTTGGCAATATGACTAATGAATGAAATGAACGGTTGCCAAGAACTCATTGAATTGCCAAACTATGGAGCGGGAGAGAGTTATTAATTTCCTACAGACTAATTAAACAGATTATTCAAAGTCTCAAGTAAAAATACAGTATCTTGTTTGTCAGTTGTATAATAATGCAGTGAACGCTAATTATTAGGTGTTCAGCGTTTTAAAAATATCCCTTTAATAAATGCAATGTTTACTAGTTTGGGAGAGAATACCGTGAGATAATTAGTAAAAAAAGTGACCTCCTTGTTTAATGCATACCTGACCAGTGTTTATCGCTTTAGATTTGATAGAGTTCTACATAGAGGAAGCTACAA